GGGACCAGGTCCAGGGGCCGGGGTGTTCCCTACTGCGGAGACAGGCTGCATGTTCAGAGCGTGACATGGGGAAGGGTGCGGGCGGTCGGCTGCCCTGTGAAGGCTCGGGATGCAAGTGCAGTCCATGGCAGGGTCCCGGGACACAGGTTTGAGAAAGGGGACGGAGGGGGAGGGCGTGTGGGTTAGGGGGAGGGTGTGCAGGATGAACGGGAGGTGACACAGATTTGGGGGCACGTGCATGGAGCCCCGAGGGTGCACAGGCACGGGGGTCTATAGCCCAGGAAGTGTGGGTGCTTACATCTGGAAGGAGGATGCCCAGGCCTGAGCAGAAGGGCGTGCGGGCCCGGGGGGAGGGGGATAGGCTGCCGAGAGGGTGGTACCTGGCAGCCAGGGAAATGAGTCTAGAAGCAGAGGGATGTCTGGGCCTCAGAGAGAGGGTGTGCTGGTCCACGAGGTGGGAGGGGGTGGCGCGGGCCCTGCAGGCTGCTCTTGGTCTGCGGTCAGGACGTGCCTCCAGCTCACCTTCTCTCCCCCCTTTGCCTCTCCCCAGCGACTCAGGACTCCACGGGGCCGGTTCTAGAAGAATTCAAGCGCTCGTAAGTGACCCTGGACCCTGGGGTTCCCCTTGGGAGAAGGGAGGATCGGGGGAGGCAAGGAGTGGGGACCCAAGGTGACTCTGGGGGGACCTCAGGAGCTCACGCCCCCCTCTCCGCGGCCGCAGGGGTGAAGCGAAGTCCGAAGATGCGGGCGAGCTGGATTTCAGCGGCCTGCTGAAGAAGAGGTGAGCCCACCCTCCGGGGGGGTGAGGCCATCTATGGACTCCCTGCCCGGCCCTCCACCACCGCCTCCATCCCCCCACTGCCCGCCCACCAGGGTCTGTGGGTCTCCCCGCCAGTTCACCTCCCTGCACACCTTTTAACCCTCCACCCTCACGTCCACTTTCCTACCCACTCCGGCTCTTTCTCCTCCACTTGTTCACCCAACCCAACACCTATGCAGGCAGCCTGTGCCCACCCACCACCTGCCAATCTCACCCGCCCATCCAGCCAGCTCCCTACTGACCCATGGACTAATCCATCTACCCACCTACCTGCCTGCCCTTTGCCCATCCCTCTGCCCACATGTCCATTTACCCACCCGCCGTCTCCCCGCCTGCCCTTCTGTCCGCCTGCCTTTACACTGAGCCACCCAGTTCCGAACGGGGAAGGGATGGCATCTGATGTCGGGGTCTGAACTGTCCCCTGGGGCCAGGTGGGGGGCAGACTGCAGGGGGACAGACAGGATGGAGGCCAGGAGACCAGGGAGGAGGCTGGGGCGATGGTCCAGGAGGGAGAGAAGGAAGGATCACAGGCCCAGAGACAGAAAGTGGCTCGGGCAGGGCACCCAGCAAGCGGGCGGAGAAGGCGGGAGGAGACCCGGCAGTGGCCTGGCCTGCTCTCCCCGCCCACAGGGAGGTGGTTGAGCAGGAAAAGAAGAAGAAGAAGGACGATGATGACCTGGGCATCCCGCCTGAGATTTGGGAGCTCCTGAAAGGGGCAAAGAAGAGCGAGTATGAGAAGATCGCCTTCCAGTACGGAATCACCGACCTCCGGGGCATGCTGAAGCGGCTCAAGAAGGCCAAGGTCGAGGTCAAGAAGAGCGAAGGTCAGTACCGGCCTGAGGGAGAGGGGCCCTGCGGCATCGTGGGTATCAGATGTTGGGACCCCGGACCCATCTTTTGGAGGCCCCCATCGGAAGGGTAAGAGAGTCCTCTTCTCAGGGACTTCTAAGCTCTTGACCTTGACCTCTTTTTGACCTTGGAGAGCTCATGGTCTGGGGAGGGAGACTTGGCAGCTCTGGGATGACCAGGGCAGGGAGGACCCCTTAGCTCCACCCGCCCCGTGTCCCTCGCCCTCCAGCCTTCACGAAGAAGCTGGACCCAGCCTACCAAGTGGACAGAGGCAACAAGATCAAGTTGGTGGTGGAGATCAGTGACCCAGACCTTCCCCTCAAGTGGTACAAGAACGGCCAGGAGATCAAGCCGGGTAGCAAGTACGTGCGTGTGGCCCTCTCAGAGTGGGCTGGGGCGGGGACCTGAGGCCCAGAGAGAACCCAACCCCCCGAAATAAGGCCGGCCACTCTGACCCCAGAAAGGGCACTCTCTCCCCCATGTGAAAAGTCCAAGTACCTCAGTCGAAGACTAGACAAAAGCACTAGAGACCAGGAATTCCGTTGAGAAGAGACCCAAATGGCTGGTGTGCTGTGAGGTACACATTCAGGCGTGCAGATGGTACGAACAGCAATAACAGTAATAATGCAAATCAGCCCTTCCTGGTTTGGCTCAGTGGATAGAGTGTCAGCCTGCGGACTAAAGGGTCCTGGGTTCGATTCCTGTTAGGGGCACATGCCCGGGGTGTGGGCTCGATCCCCAGTGGGGGCCGATCAGGAGGCAGCTGATCAATGATTCTCTCTCATCATTGATGTTTCTGTCTCTCTCTCCCCTCTCTCTTCCTCTCTGAAATTGATAAAAATATATATTTTAAAAGATACAAAAAAAGCCATTTTGATGGTTCAATTTTAGGTATTTGTCTTAATGGTGGTTATGTATATGTAGCTGCAAGGATGCTGACCTAAGCATTGACTATTGTAGCAAAACATGGAAAACAACCAAAATGCACAATTCCGTGCTCAGGTGCTGTAAAAATATTCTGAAATACATGCTGACTGGGAGAGCTGTTTAAGATTATTGTGTGCAAAAGCGTACTTCCCATCTGCTTCACAAAATGTTATTTGCATATCCTATATAATAAAGAGGTAATATGCAAATTGACCACCACACCCTCACACAAAAGATGGCCGCCCCCATGTGGTCAAAGATGACCACCACCACAAGATGGCCAGCAGGGGAGGGCAGTTTGTGGCGACCAGACCATCAGGGGAGGGCAGTTGGGGGTGATCAGGCTGGCAGGGGAGCAGTTAGGCGTCGATCAGGCTGGCAGGGGAGTGGTTAGGGGGTCATCAGGCTGGCAGGCAGAAGCGGTTAGGGGCACTCAGTCAGGCAGGCAGGCAGGCAGTCACTATGACGTGCACTGACCACCTGGAGGCAGACGCTCAATACAGGAGCTGCCCCTGGTGGTCAGTGCGCTCCCACAGCCAACCTCCCGCGGCCCTCATGGTCCCGATCACCAGCCTGGCCGAGGGACCCCACCCGTGCACAAATTTGTGCACCGGGCATCTAGTGTATAGATAAAAAGGTTGACAAGACAGAGGCCAAAATGTTTGCATTTGGTGGGGCAGTTATGGATGGGTTCTTTTTTTTTTTTTTTTTTAGGATTTTTTATTAGTTTTTAGAGAGAGAGGAAGAGAGAGGGAGAGAGAGAAACATCCATGTGAGAGAGAAACATCCATCAGCTGCCTCCTGCATGCCCCCTACTGGGGATCAAGACCGAAACGGGGGCATGTGCCCTGATCAGGAATTGAACCTTCAGTATGTGGGGACAACACCCAGCCAACTGAGCCACACTGGCCAGGGCTACATGGAGTCTTTTTTAAAACGATTTTTTTCCCCTTGGCTGTGTTTTCTCAATTTGTCGCCATGAGCATTTGGGGTAAGATAAAAAGTTGTATTAGTGAGGGTGTAGGTTAAGTTGCTGTAACAGAGTCCCTAGAACACATGACTTTAATTAGGGCTGTATTTCTAGTTGGTGGAGGTAGGGGGACCAGCTCTTTTCTTACAGACTTTTCGGCATCCGAGTTTCCATATTTCTGGCTACACCGTCTGTATGGTTGAAGCTGGGTCGTAGGCACATCTGTGTCTGGAGGAAGGAAGGAGGGAAGGAGAGATGACCTAGCACAGTGGTTCTCAACCTTCTGGCCCTTTAAATACAGTTCCTCATGTTGTGACCCAACCATAAAATTATTTTCATGGCTACTTCATCACTGTAATGTTGCTACTGTTATGAATCATCATGTAAATATCTGATATGCAGGATGTATTTCTATTGTTACAAATTGAACATAATTAAAGCATAGTGATTAATCACAAAAACAATATATAATTATATATGTGTTTTCCGGTGGTCTTAGACGACCCCCAAAGGGATCGCGACTCACAGGTTGGAGACCCACAGGTTGAGAACCGCTGGGATAGAGTGTCAGCCTGTGGACTGAAGGGTCCCAGGTTCGATTCTGGTCAAGGGCACATGCCTGGGTTGCAGGCTCGATCCCCAGTTGGGGGCCTGCCGATCAGTGATTCTCTCTCATCATGGATGTTTCTATCTCTTGCTCCCTCTCCCTTCCTCTCTGAAATCAATAAATAAATATATTTTCAAAAAAAGAAAAAGAAGTTGGACGGTGTGCCCCCTCCCCCACAGTTTGTCTCTGAGCGGGAGTGCCTTGCCTGGGAACTCGTGGGCGGCTGCACCCCAGGGCCAGGGTCTGCCCCAGGCCCTGGACCGAGGTGAGGTTCTTGCGCCAGGTACGTGTTTGAGAACGTTGGTAAGAAGCGAATTCTCACCATCAACAAGTGCACGTTGGCGGACGATGCCGCGTATGAAGTCGCCGTGGGCGATGAGAAGTGTTTCACCGAGCTCTTCGTCAAAGGTGAGGCCGGGGTTGGGGCCTGGGCTTGGGGACTGGGGTCTGGAGGGGCTCCGGAGACCGCTTGACCTCCTGTCCCCCACCCCCTGTGCCCACAGAACCTCCAGTGCTGATTGTGACACCCCTTGAGGACCAGCAGGTGTTTGTGGGCGACCGGGTGGAAATGGCCGTGGAGGTGTCGGAAGAAGGCGCCCAGGTCATATGGTGAGTGATCCCCCGTCTCCACTCAGGTGCCCTCCGCTTCTCTGCACCAGCCCGATCTTTACGGCCTCTCGTGGAGGCCCTGGGCCTCTACCCGGGAGTCCCCCAGAGGCCTCAGCCTCTCTCTCTAAATTCTGACCCTCACCATCTAGAAATCCTAGCCCAGTGATGGTGAACCTATGACGCGCGTGTCAGAGGTGAGACGCGAACTCATTTTTTTTGGTTGATTTTTCTTTGTTAAATGGCATTTAAATATATAAAATACATCTCAAAAATATAAGTCTTTGTTTTACTATGGTGGCAAATATCAAAAAATTTCTATATGTGACACGGCACCAGAGTTCAGTTAGGGTTTTTCAAAATGCTGGCACGCCGAGCTCAAAAGGTTTGCCATCACTGCTCTGGAATATCTGACTTCTACCTATTCCACCCCTTTTCCTGATCCCTGCTATTTCAGATTCATTAACTCATTTATTCATCCATTTGACCAATCACATCCATCCTCTGGCTTATCTGTTCATCTCCCCATCCCCCCATCCACTCATCCATTCACTCATCTAGTCATCCATCCATCCATCCACCCACCCACTCACCCACCCATCTACTCCTCCATTCATGCATCCCACATCTGTTCACCCATCTGACAGATGTTTAATAAGCACCTACTGTGTGTAAGCACCTACTCTTCTCTGTGTTGAGATAAATGGAAAGAAAATATGTCACCATGGCCCCTGCCCTCGTGGAGTTTACAATCTGGTAAATTTCCGGAACATGTGGGTGTGAGAGACGGAGACAGGTATTAGTCATCACATGAATAAATATAAAAGTTTTGTTTTGACCAGCGTTTCAGAGGAGCCGTAACTGATGCTGTAACCAGTTTTTTAAAAAAATCCTCACCCGAGGATATGTTGCTGGTTTTTTGTTTGTGAGGAGGGAGGGAGGGAGAGGGAGAAGTTGATGTAAGAGAGAAACATCAATCAATTGCCTCCCATATGTGCCCTGACATGGGACTGAACCTGAAACCTAGCTAAGATATGTGTCCTGATCAGGAATAGAACCCACAATCCTTTGGTGCATGGGACAATGCTCCAATCAACTGAGCCATCTAGTC